TGGGAGCAGTTCACTGGGCATCAGAGGCCTGGAGGCCCAAGGGGGCCTGACGGGGCAGGCAGCGGCCTCTCCCATGTGAGTCCTGAAGGACAAGGTGCTGGTCCCAACTGACTGTCCTGAGTCCCTTCCTCCTCTCCCCACCCCTACCATCCTGCCCACAGCAAGCTGGAGGACCACAGGTTCTGCTCTCGGGAAGGGACCTTGAGCACTGGGAGGTAGGAGATGAGGGCTCCTATGAGAGCAGACTCTGGGCATGGGACACCCCAGGAAGGGTGCAAGACTGCCCCGGACAGCTGTGAGCATGACAGCTCTGCACACAGATACCGAAGTAATTGGATGTTTCTCTAGAGTTGCCATCATTTGTATTCTTTACCCAAATACTGTTTGTGACAACTTCAGCTATGGAAGTCATTTGTGAGACCATAGGGTGATGTTAGGCCTTCCCCCGGGCCTTTTTGGACCTCTCAGTACAAGAAGCAGGAAAAGCACTCGGGAAAGGATATAACCCTTACACAGGCTGGACAAGTGTGAGTACACATGAAGAATTGTGAAGAGTAGCAACAGGGGCCTTTGGGTGCTCACAGCAGCCTCTGACTGCCATAGTGAGGCTGGTGGCCCTGGTAACAGAGAGATCTGGGCCTCTGTCATGGCTGCAGCTCCCTGGGACCAGAGGGCTCCTGGGATAATGGAGTAGGGTGCATGGTTTCTGAAGACCATCTCAGATGCAACCTGAGTTTGTAAGTAGAGGGACGGTGCCCAGGTCACAAAAGATGTACACGTGTATGTGTGTGCAGGGCTGCCCCTCCCAGAGTATGTGTCCGGCTTTGATACCCTCCTCTCTATTTTGTTGCCTGATGGGGGGCATGACCCCTCACAGCACTAGTTTACTGGGGCCACATCAGAAAGCACAGTAGCAGGGAGTGGCCCTCAAATCTCTAGTTAAATTCTCTTGACAAGGCTGCAAAAGGGAATTTCTTTCATAATCTTCTGCGAACAGTTCCTAAGACTCTCATTTGCCATCTCTCCCAGGATTTCTCAGGGCACTGGGGCTGCCTAAGTTCCCTTCTCTTACTCTCTCAAAAACCCCAGAAGTTTCTCATACCGTGGCTGCCCCCACTATGCTTCCCTCTTCTCCTCTGGGCCCCTCAGTCCAGTCAGCTTCCACGCTCTTGATGCTTTGGTGCAGTGTGTTTCTTAGAAGGTGTGCATGTGTGCACTGTGTGCACACTATGTGTGTGCTGTGTGCGTGCTGTGTGTGCACACCGTATGTGTATTCTCTGTATGTGCTGTGTATGTGTGTATGTGCTGTACATGTCAGCACACTGTGTATCCATTCACTGTGTGCTGTGTGTGTGCATGCTGTGTATGTGTGCACTGTGTATCCTGTGAAGCTACATGCCATGTGTATATGGTGTATGCATGTACTGTATGTGGACATGGTGTATGTGTGCTGTGTATATATCTGCACTATGTATACATGTGTGCATTGTGTGCTGTGTGTGCCTGTTCTGTGTATGTATATGTGCTGTGTATAAGCTCTCTGTGCACTGTGCATGTGTACATGCTGTGTATTTGTGCATTGTGTGCACTGTGTGTGCACACTGTGTGCTGTGTGTGAGCTGTGTATGTGTGCACACTGTGTGTGTGCTGTGTCTGTACTGTGCCTGTATGTGTACATGTTGTGTGTGTGTGTCACTGTGTGCATTAGTGTACATGCTGTGCTTGTGTATGTGCGCCGTGTATGTGTATTCATGTGTACAGGATGTGGGCAGCTGCAATTACTCAGAAGCTAAAGTTTTTGGCTGAGTCCTCACAAAGGGCCTCTGACCTGAGTTGCATTGACTCAGAACTCCAGACCGTATGCCCTGGAGAGGACCCAGGGATCAAGGACCATGAAATAGTCCCTCAGCTGGGCTGAGCAGAGCCTGGAGAATGGTGTTTACTTCTGTACCAACTCGTCACTGTGTGAGCACTTGTTTTGGGCTGGAAGCTGCATGCCATGTATTCTTCTCTCCTACACTCCCATACCCATGTGTGAAGTTCAGGGACCAGTGTCCCTGTCTGACAAATGTGGCCATCAGCATGTGTTGATTCTAGATGTGGGAAGGAGTACAGAAACAAGATAATGGCTGCTCTCCTCTCAGCCCAGCTTTTCTAGAGATCAGAGGCTGAGACAAAGTTCATGTGTGAGCACTTTGTTGAGGAGTGTGGTCCATGGAAGCAGAAGGGAAGAGGGAGAGTGTGTAGATGGAGAAGCCTGACAGGACTTGAGACTGTCTGTGGAGAGATTCTGTGAAGCTTTTGTTCATCAGGCGTGAGGAAGTAGAATTTACTTTCTGGCCCCTGTGTCCCATTGACCTACATTGGGTCCAGGTGTTATCTGGTCCCACACTACTTCTAGGTTGTGCACATGGACTGGATGGATCCACAGAGTACACACCAGAGCAGGAAGGGTGTGTGGCCTGCTGGTGGCCGTGAGGCCCTAGGTCAGGCCATAGGTTAGAAGTGGTGGCTGCAGTGCTAGGCTACTCAGGGGGCAGTGCTGGGCTACTCGGGTGGCACTGAGGCACAGATGTGGGTGGCACATGACAACATCTTGTTCAGCTCCCAGGACATGACCACATTAGCTTCTGTTTTCTCATCTAATCCTCACCACAGCCCTGCAAGAAAGGAAGGGCAAGAAACTATACACCCAGTCTCAGATTCAGAGCCTTCTCCATGGGGTTGAAACCATGTGTGTCTCCTGACTCTATCTGGATTCTCTCACTGAAGTTCCAGACACAGAGCTGATACACAAGAAAGGACTTGGCAGTGTGGATGGATGGCTACGAGTTGGAGTGCAGACAGCGTGAAAGGAATGGAGTTGAGGGAGCCCTGGGGTGTCCCAAGGTTGAGTCACTTGTGCTGGACAACGGAGGGAGGAGCAGGCATGAGCCCTGAAGCAGGGGCAGCTGCAGGGTCCCAATGCAGCCACTTCATTCTCTGGGGAGCTACTGGAGATATGCCAGGTGGAATACCTCAGCCCAGCCTGGCAGGCCAGGACAGCCTGTGATCAGGCAGAGTGGTAAGGGAGCCCTGGAAGTGAGTGGAAAGATGGAGAGGGCAACAATGCAGTTGCAAGAAGGTCCCATGCCTTGTTGCTTTGCCCACCTGGCCTACTGCACCTGTAGCCAGCTCAATGAACAGTACTGGTGGCAGCTCATTAAGGCAGGTGGCAAAGGGTCCCTCAGACACAGCCTGTGCCAGGGCAGCCTTCCCTCCTTGCCCCTAGACTACCGCAGGATCCCAGAGTGTGCTCTGCCCTGACAGGGGCAATGAGTGTGGCCTTTTCATCTAACACCCAGGTACCCCGTGAGACTTGACCAGGAGGATACAAGGAGGACCACTTTCCTTAATAGTGCTCCCAGAGAGCCAAGTAAACCTAGGTGTGAAACAGGAAAGCACTGTCACATAACCACTGCCTCGAAACTTGGAGCTTTCTTCCAAGCTGGCAGGAGGGCCCCTCCCTCCTGCATTTGGGCATCTGGGTACCTGGGCCTGCTCTTGCACCACCTGGCCCTGAGTGGGAGGTGGGAAGCTTGCAAGGCCTGCCTTCTAGTAGAGGGTTATTCACTTTCACCTTCCTGACTATGAGCCAGTTGTGTCTTTAATTAGAAGGTGCTTGCTTTCCTACTTGAACAGAGGGGGAGCTGCAGGCAGTCAGAGGAGGTAGACTGGATGCAAGTCTGACCCCCCCTTTCCCAAAGGGCTGGTACTTTGTCCAGGCCAGCCCCAGCTGACTTGGAGCAGAGGCATGGGTCACTTGGGCTCCATCTTGGGCCCTACAGAAGCAGGCGCAGAAAGCTGGCCCACCCTCTGTCTTCCCCATCCATCGGGCCTGGCCTCAGAAGACTTCCCGAGCTCTCCAACGATTGTGTGCATCCTCCAGATAGGTCTGGATGCAGCCAGGAGCCACTGAGGCAAGAGAGAGGCTCCCTATGCTTCCTACTTCTAATTTCACTTGGTAAACCTTGAAAAATGCCAATGCCCAGGCTTTACGCCATGCCAGTTAAATCGGAATCATGGGGGTGGAAGCTGGTCAAAGTGTTTTTTTTAACTCCCCAGGTGATTCTGGTGAGAATCACAGCTGAGAATCACTGATCAAGTGAAGCCAGGTCTGCCCACCTGCAGGCTAAACCTCTCAAAGGGACAAACATGTCCCTGGAAAATGGGCTTGATCCACCCAGCATACCTAGGCTGGAAATCAAGGTACTGCATTTAAACAATGGATCAGGTGATAGCACTGCTGGTTGGGGCCCCACTTGGAGCCCCAAAGCTTTAGAAGAGGATTTAAAACTCCAGAGAATAGTGAATTCTGACTCAGAAGGTGCAAGTCTCTGGTGATGCTGTGGCTCTGGGGCTGCACTTGCTTTGGATATCCGACAGGGTCTGGCTCTCTGGGGCCTCTGGGGGCTTATGTGTCTAGAGAAATCCAGTGCTTCTGTGTCCTGGGCACTCCTCATGGTCTGAGGGGGATGCTGAGCAAGCACGTCTGTGGGAGTTGGCTTCCGAGGGTGGTGACACCATGTCTAGTGTGCAGCATTTTCCAAAGTGAGCCTCTGAGCCTCATTTAATCCTCTCAGCAAGGCTCTGAAGTAGTGCTCTCTGTACCCATGGTACAGTTGAGAAAATTAGGGTTCCTAGTGGTTGAGGATTCTGATGAAGCCACAAGTGGCAGAGCCAGGCTCTAACTCAGGCCTCCCTGGCCACCTTTGCTGTGGTCTTGGCACAGCTGCAATCTAGCTGTGTGACCTGGGGCACTTAGCCTCTCTGTGCCTTGTCTTTATCTGCAACATTTGGAAAATAATGGCATCTCTTGTGGGGTTAATATGAGGATTAATGAGATGATTCAGCTCTTGCATTAGTGTCACTGATGGTGTGTATGAAGTACCCATGACAGCCAGAAGGAGGGCCTGGCAGAGGCATCTTTAATGCTTCACAGCCTCATTCTTCTCTTACAGGAAACTATGCCCCAGACATCTGTCCTCTTCTCCAGCATACTCAGGCCCAGCTGTAGTGGACAGGTGCAGCCCAGCATGGGGGAGCGAGGAGGTGGGGCCAGCAGCTCCAGGGACCTCATCTTCCAGGATGGATGCCTCATCTCTGGATCCTTGGAGGCCTTGATAGAACACCTAGTCCCCACAGTGGACTATTACCCTGATGTGAGTGCTTGGGTCTGGAGAAAGGTGTGGGCTCCAGAGAAGGCTGCTTCTGGGATGGTGGGAGGGGGAGCAGATAGAGATGAATGGAGTAGCAGGGAAGGGGCAGGGTGGGCCAGGGGGGAGTCATTTCCCTGTGCCCTCCAGGTGGGTGGAAGATGGCCCTGGTGGCACAAGAAAGAGATACATGAGGGGCTGGGACAAGGGTCTGAGTTCTGGGCAGGGTCCTGGGGGAGGAATAAAAGTCTAAAGGGCCAGACCAGCACCACAGAGTCCTGGTGAGGGCCCGCCCTGCACAGGTCCTGTTCCTAAGCCAGAAAGTTTGCTTTGTGCATGAACCACTGCCACGCCTGCCAGCATGTGGAGCCTAGGACAAATCATGCCCACACGAGCACAGCTAGCCTTCATCTACAATCCAGATGCCCCCTCTTCACCTCAAGAAGACACGAGCACATTTTTGGAACAGAGAGAAAGAGTTCTCTTGTCATATGTGGCTTCCCTTCTGCAGTAGTGGCTCTAGGTCCTTTCGAGAGCAGAGCTTCACAGGCCCTCACAGTGCCCACTCCATCCCCAGTACAGAGCTGGGCTCCCTGGCCTCCATGAGTGAGACACCACTGAGGGACAGTGGGGGAGGAATTGCTCTTCTCTGCCCTCCAGCTTTTATGTGATGATGCTGGAGGGTCAACTAAGCTTCTGGGACTTCCTGGCCCACCCAACATATCAGGACTCCTCCCTCCTTCCTGGGCTCTGTCTACTCTTCCTCTTCCCACCCCATAAACCCTCTCAGGACCTGTCTGGGGCTTCTCCCTGCCATCGTTCAGCTCAGATCATGAGGAGCCCTCCATGCCTTCAGCACAAAGCCCAGTGATGAGAGTCGATGGATGTGGGACAGGGGCCCTGGCGAGGCAGGTGGGGACAAAGCCCTCAGCCGGTTAGTGATTGTACAGGGGCTAGCAATAGTCCCTGATGCTGGTACAGGGTCCAAGAAGGCCTAGCCCTGCCCCATAGATAAGCTGGTGAGGATCTGGAGATGAAAGATGCTTGGAGCTTGGCCCAGGGAGCATCATGGTCTGAGCACCAGGCTCATACAGGCCCGGAGATTCCTGCCAAACATACAAGGTTGGGTTAGTGCCCATTGCAGGGTAGGACAGAGAGTGGGGAGAAGCCCAGCAAAGCAAGACTGCTGGAAGCTGAGCTCATCTAGGAGGCCTCTGTGAGCCACTGCGACGTGGGGTTGATCTGTGCCTTGCAAGTTGGGCAGGATTCAGGTGACAGTGAGAGAGAAGAAGGGCATTCATGGTGTAGTAAACCATGCAAAAACCATGACTACTGCATGGTGATTTTGGGCTTGGGAGGCAGTAGGGTGACGTGTAGCAGCAGGCTGTGAGTATACCTGGGGGCCACGCCAGGCCTGACTCATGCTTTGCCCTCTGTTCCTTTTCTTCTTTTTTTCTTTTCTTCAGAAGACATACATCTTCACATTTCTCTTGAGCTCTCGGGTCTTCATCCCACCTCATGACCTGCTGGCCCGTGTGGGGCAGATCTGCCTGGAGCAGAGGCAGCAGCTGGAGGCCGGGTCTGAGAAGGTACATGCATGCTGACCAGATGGTGCCTGTCTCCATGCCTCTGGCTACCCATCCCGTTTCTGCTCAGAATAAGCAGATAGGACAGTGTCTGGCTGAGCCTGGCCTGGGGCCCTTCCTGATGGCGGTAGGTCTGCTGGTCTCTGCCCTCCTGGCACATCTGGGGTATGGCTCCCCTCCCATGATGCTGAAAGTAACTGCTGTTGGTGGGCACTCACACCCCCTCCCAAGGAAGGGCCCCAGTGGACAGCTCCACCAGCTTTCCTGGTCAGTGCCAAGAACCCCAAAATAGAGGCCTGGCTGTAGCTGGTGGAAAAGAAGCCAATGGGGCATGAGTCACTGCCTCCTCTAAGTGGGTCAGGTGGCAGCACTCTCAGGCTGGCACCTGCTCATTAGAGCTTTCAGTAACTCAGACAGGGCTGTTTGCCACTGTTGTCTCTTCTGTTTGAGCCAGGCTTTGGGCAGTTAAGATGGTCAAGAAACCACAGCTCTACCCTGAGGCCCTGGGGCAGGGACTTGGGGTGAGGTTTTAGAAGCCAAGGGTCTGGTAGAGAAGAAAGGGTGGTGGGCATGCTGTCAAAGAGCTGGCAGGGCCTAGTTCGGGCTGTAGCAGAGCATGGCCTGTCCCCATTTACTGATGACCTTCCCCTCCACTTTCCTTCTGTGAGGCTGGGCCCTGAAGGTTTGCAGCAAAGGCCTGTGAATGCCATGTCTGCTCAGAGTCTCCTCTCCAGAGGGGCTTTCCCAGGGTGCCACAGGGCAGGGATGCAACAGGCACTGACTACAATCTGGAAAGACTCTGGAGGGGCAAGTGGAAATAAATCAGAGTGGGGTGAGTGGGGGGGCTGAAGGTCAGCATGGGGACAGTAGCAGCCTGGAGTGAGCCTGCTAGCCTGTGTCCATGGTGACATGCACAGCTGGGCCACTGAGGAAGGAACACACGGCTCTGGTTCATGCTGCATGTGGGTGTTGTAGGCATCTGAGGGAAGGTCAGCAAAGCCTTCTGGGTTGCCCATGCACTGGATTCTGGCCAGAAGCAGTGGCTGCGGGAATGCAGGGCCATCTGAGAGAGGCTTTGCCAGATATGGGAAGCCATCACTAAAGGACCGGCTAGGGGCATGGGACAACTCAAGTCAGGTCGGTTGGAGGCAAAAGAGGGGCGCAGGAAGATGCAGGACTGAGGGATGGTTCCTCCAGGAGCTTGGCCTTGAAAGCAGTCATGGCCACCCAGTGGGTGAGATGGTCCAGGGTGGGCAAGCATGGACAGCTGAGCAGTGGGGGCACAGGAGGCGCAGGTGGCAGGGGGTGAGGGGGCAAGGTTCGTGTGGGCATTTGGGGGGATGCTCTGGCATTTCCTCCTCTCTCCTCCTGGACTGTGCATGTGTGTAAGCCTGGGACTACAGCAAGAGTGCCAGGACCACCTTTAATGACACAAAGTGGGGAGGAAGGCATCTCCACGGGTCTGTGCCCCTTCCCAGCACTTGCCAACCTGCTTTAATAGAAAGAGGACAGGCAAGAGCCTCTCGTTTATTACTAATGAATTTTCTTGGTTTTCACTTGTTTTATTTTATCAATAACTTCTAATTACAGCAAATGAAACTAGTTTTCTATGCCATGGTAGTGTTGGGGCAAGGTTTTTGAAAATGAATTTATTTAAGTGAAAAAGAGCTGACTTAAGGGTGTCAATCCTTAAGTTGGCACCAATTTCATACCAACAAGAACTCCCAATTTGGGGTGCAGTGAAAAAGGAACTTTATTTAGTGCAAATGCTCAATTATGAAATGGCATGGCTGTGAGAACAGCTCGGTAGTGTTACAGCTCATTTATGAAACAGCACAGCTGTGAGGCAGCCCTGGGACAAAGCAGCCCCGGGGTGAGGTTCTTCTCTGACTACACAACTCTGCTCCATGCCACCTGCTCTTGTGAGAAGTCTTAGGTCTTTCAACCACAGCAGGAGAAACCCAGTCTTTAGTTTTCGGTGAAAAGAGAAAGTGCACTCTCCAAGCACAAGGGGAACTGACTTATATATGGACAGAAGTTCTGCTCCTGGTTCCGGATCGGTTTGTCCTCATGCAAAACCTCGAAGTTTGAGTGGTCCAAAAAGCACTGTCCTGATTGGTCGGAATGGAGCTGTTCTGGCTGGTGGGTGAAGATGCTAATGAGGAAATAGTGACACAGCTCTGATTGGAGGGGAAAGTGCCAATCCTATTGGTTGAAGTACAATGCAGACACTCCTTTCCAAGGATTGGCTCTGCTGGCAGGAACACAGGACAGGCAGGTAGTTCAATGCAGACTTCTCCCTGACGTGTGGCTTTTGCAAGGGGCCTCTGTTTAGAAAAGGCTGCAAGTCTGTCTTTTTAAAATTTGAACCCAGTTAGCCACCAGGAGTCCTTCTTGGTAAGTATCTTCTTTCTCAGGGTCTACAGGGGGAATATGAAAGAGAGCAGGTATGACAAAACTGAAGGTGGACTGTTTAGGGGTTGTCCCCGCCCATCAGCCCTGCTCCAGCACAGGGTCAGGGCATAGGTGCTGGAGGGTTGGTATACCATTTGTCATCTCGCATTTCCTCCTCTCTCCTCCTGGACTGTGCAGGAGGAGAGAGGAGGAAATGCCAGATGACAAATGGCATTACTCACTCTGGTGGGTCAGGCTTCACTCTGTGCCCTGCCACCCTAGGCCAAGCTAAAATCCTTCTCTGCTAAGATTGTGCAGCTGCTAAAGGAGTGGACAGAGGCCTTCCCCTACGACTTCCAGGATGAGAAGGCCATGGCTGAACTGAAGGCTATCACCTACCGGCTCACACAGTGTGAGGAGGTAGGGTCCTCCCTCAACTCTTGATATGTGTGTGACGGGGGGGTCTACTCACACAGGGGGTGGGGTCCTTAGCGACAGCTCTGTATGTGGTCCTCTTCTCTATCACTCCTCCATGAAGACTGCTGGGTGGCTCCATTTGGCTATCTCCCCTACCTTGGCAAGTAATAGGCCAGACTGGCCCTTGGCACCATCTTCATGCAGGAAACCTTGAGCAGTAGGGCTAGATCTCACCCTGAGAATGTGGAATGATCCCAGGCCCCACCCTCTTCTGGACCTTGGATAGGTGGAGTGGGGGCATCTAGTGAGAGAGGTAAGAAGCTGTTTGGTTCCCGGTCTGTTCTTGGCCTTCAATGGAATTGGGAACCTGGAGAGCCAAGAGGGAGCCTGGGCTGGCTGTGCCTCAGTAATGGAAGTGCTCCATGTGCTCAGCAGCTCCTATCTGGCCAGAGGGCTTAGAAAGCCCAGGGAGAGCTTTGGGAGGGGCCAGGGCTGCCCGCACCCAGGGAATGAAGGCTCCTGGCCCCAGAGGAATCCCTTTGGGATGCCTTCATCCCTATTATGGGCTTCTCTTACTGTAGGATGGCCCTAAGAAGTAGCTTAGCTGGCCGCCTCTGCCTCCAGTAAAGTCACACTTTTCAGATCCAGAAGCCTAGCTCTGGCCCTGCTCTGGTTCTCAGATTCCTTCTTCATAGGACAGCCCACTAAGCCACCCTCTTTAGCAGGCCTCAGAGGAGCCCACACTATACTCCATTGTGTTAGGTCCAAGTGCTAATGGCAGGTTTGGGTAGGGCATATGCCCTCAAAGTCAGGCATGGCCCTGGAGATGAGATGGGTGTCTCCATGGAGGTGGTAGTCTTGCCACTAGCCTGCACTGGTAACTTCATCCCTCCCTCACCCCTACAGGAGAATGGCACAGTGAAGAAGGCCATCACCCAAATGATGCAGAGCCTGCTGCTATCCCTGGCTGCCCGGAGCCAGCTTCAGGAGCTTCGGGAGAAGCTCCGCTCGCCAGCTCTGGACAAAGGGCCTGTCCTCAAGGCCAAGCCACCAGCCACTCAGAAGGATATCCTGGGCATGTGCTGTGACCCCCTGGTGCTGGCCCAGCAGCTGACTCATATCGAGCTGGTCAGTGCTACAGTTTGCCTGCCCAGGGTACGGCTGGGGTTACATTACTCATGCTCACCTAGGGCCACTGGACCCCTGACCTCTTTCTCAACATAGTGCTGCAGGGCCTCCCTGGCTGAGCAGACTAGGGTATTAGGTGAAGTCTACTTGCTAGCCCTGACCACTGTCTCTGGCTGGTGTGTGTCTACTTGAGCAGCAGGTTTCTCTGTGCCTGGTGCCTGGTTCCCTAGGTTCACCGCAGCCCTGTGTTCATGGAAGGGGCTGGGACCATGAGAACCAAAGTAGCCCCAGGAAGGAAGTGAGGGGCTTCAATGGTGAGAGTCAGGAAGGAAGTGAGGGGCTTGGACGGAAGTGAGGGGCTTCAATGGTGAGAGTCAGTTAGCCAACTCTGTCACCTCGTCCTGCCTGTGCCCTGGGCTGAGAAGGTCCCCTGCACACCCTGAGGCTTCCACCTCACCTCCTTTCAGCCCTGTCCTCTCCTCTCTAAGTGTGTGTGTGTGGTGGGTGTGTTGGGCGGGGGTGGGTGTGTTGGGCAGGGCCTGCCCACTGGCTAGGTGCTCTAATCAAGGAGGGGCCATGGTGCCCACGTGCAGACAGGTCCTGACTGCTTCTGTGAACATGCCCTCTACCCCAAGTGTGGGGCTTGTCCAAGGATAACAGGCTTAGCACTCCTCTTCTGCTGTTTCCTTATCCCACCCCAGGAGAGGGTTTGCAGCATTCACTCCGAGGACCTGATGCAGATCATCAGTCACGTGGACTCTCGAGACAATCACAGGGTGAGGGGCTGTGGCCTGAGGGTAGGCTTGGCACTTACACCCCATACAGGGTAGGTGGGGTCCTGACCCAGCGCACCTGAGCACCTCTGGAGAGTCTGGCCTCCTGATGCCTCCTGGTGCCTGTTCCAGGGTGTCAGCGGATAGCCATGTAAGATGATGCATACTTGGAGGGGGCCCAGCATTCTCAGGGCCATGGACAACCAAACTGGCCTCCAGATCTAGCCCTGGGCATCTTGGAGACCCAGGCTAGCCAAGGGGATCTGTCCAGTTGCCTCTATCCCAACATAACTTTCAGTTTCCTCCCCTGGCTACTCAGTTCTGGGGACAGGGCTGGGCAGCACCCGCTGGCAGGGTCCTTGGGCTTCTTGTGACTTGTTGTGTCCCCCCCAGTGCCGAGGGGACCTGACCAAAACCTACAGCCTGGAGGCCTACGACAATTGGTTCAACTGTCTCAGCATGCTAGTGGCCACCGAGGTGTGCCGGGTAAGCACTGCACAGTGGACATGGGCAGGGTGATGCCATCTCCTAGCCAATCCCATGGTGCTGCCTGAGGCATCCTCAGATGCTTCTGCTCCCTCAGATGTTGAAACTTTGAAAGTAGGGATAGGAAGCCTCCATTGCCAGGGCCTTGGAGGTGCCTTCTTGCCCCCATGTCCAACAGTGATGCCTTAAATTACAACCAAGACTCATTCATGTAGTGCACCTTGTGGCCAGCATGGTCTGTGAGCTCATTTGGGGTCCCTCAGCCCTCTCTACCTGCCCTCTTCCTCTGCCTAGAATCAGAGATACCACAGTTGCATTTCCTCCCTCTGCAGCCTGCCAGCATCCCCCTTCCCTGAGTCTGGCAGCTCTGTGGGTCCTGGGCTAATACCAACCTGGTGTCCTTCAGGGACTGGTAGTAGAGGGGATGACCCCTTGTGGGGCTCACACTGAGGCCACTGGCCCCCCTTCAGGTCGTGAAGAAAAAGCATCGGACCCGCATGCTGGAGTTCTTCATCGATGTGGCCCGGGAGTGCTTCAACATCGGAAACTTCAACTCCATGATGGCTATCATCTGTGAGTGTCTGGGCCTGGGGCTCCCCACCCAGCTTCTGCATGCCTCCCCCTGCCACCCGACCTTACCTGCTGACCTTTGCAGCTGGCATGAACCTCAGTCCTGTGGCGCGGCTGAAGAAAACATGGTCCAAAGTCAAGACAGCCAAGTTCGATGTCTTGGAGGTAGGCACCCAGCCTCATCCTGTGTTGAGAGGGTGGGCCTCCCATCGCACTCTGTTCCTCGCTCAGGACTTTTCTACAGTGCTGGAGCGTATTGAGCAGGCCTGACCTGACCACCCTGGTAAGGCAGGTGGCCTGAGCTGTCCTCAGCCGTCACTTTAGTCAGATCTAGCATCGCCCAAAGCAAGCTCTGGGGAGTAGTTAGTAAAGAGTTTGACAAAAGTGGGCCTATGAGCCCTGCATTGGGTGATGCTGACTAAGCAGAGACAAGCCTGTCCCTGGCCCAACTTTTCATGGTCCTGGATCATCTGGGTGACCCAGAGCCTGACAGGTAAGTTCACTCACAGCCTTTTCTGGATGCATTTGATCACAGAATCCATTTTTTGAAAACATGTATGTCTTGTGTAGTTGATCAGATTTGGAAGATGTCGGTCTAAGCAGAGGGGCTAAGGAAGGATTTGAAAGGAAGTTTTGAAAGGGAAGAGGTGTGTGGGGGCTGCAAGACCTCTATGGCTTTCCCAGTGGTGCTGAGACTCAAACCTGGAAGGCTTTGGCCCTGTGCTCAGCTAGGTACCTCTGAGCTTCCCTCCCTGGTGCTCACATCTGGAAAGGAGGCCTTTTCTGGTGATAGTCTGAGGCACCCAGAAGGGAACTGCCTTCCCTATCATCTGTTTACTCACTCTGCTCCATGAAGGGTGTAGGGGTAGCACTGCCTACGTGTCCCCATCCTCCTTCCTGTCTACCTACAGCACCACATGGACCCATCAAGCAACTTCTGCAACTATCGCACAGCCCTGCAGGGGGCCACACAGAGGTCCCAGATGGCCAACAGCAACCGAGAGAAGATTGTCATCCCTGTATTCAACCTTTTTATTAAGGACATCTACTTCCTCCATAAAATCCACACCAACCACCTGCCCAATGGGCATATTAACTTCAAGGTGAGCTTAGCCCCACTGCGGTGCAAGGGGAGGGGGCCAGGATGTCCTAGCACAGGGCCAGGCAGCCCTTGCAGCTTTGCCCAAGGGCAGGTAGAATCTATCCGTGTCAAGAGAGTGGCAAGGTGTGGCTCTGTAGCAAAAAGGTCTTTAAAACTGAAAGTTCCAAAGTGGGTCATTTGACCTCCAGGTATGAGTTTATCCCTGTCCTTTTGGGTGGCTGGTCTGGTTAGAGGGTTTGGAGCCACAGGGAACCTGCATTTGAAGCAGGACTGGGCCCTGCACTGAGAGAAAGGGTTCTTGACTGAGTACAGGAAAGAATTCAAGCCCACACCAGAGTTAGAGTTAAAAAGAAAGTTTATTAGAGAAGGGGTAATGCTCCATAGACAGAGTGGTCTCCTCTCAGAGACAAAGAGTAAGAGAGGCTGAGAGAGACTCAGAGGGCCAGAGATGATAGAGAGAGGGAGCTGGAGACAATGAGAGGGACAGAGAAAAAGACAGGAACTGAAAAAAGACAGCGAGAGGGACCCTGAGTGTTCTGGGAATTCAGTTTATATATATATCATTCTGAGTTTCTATGAATTACTTTGTTTACCCATTTTCCTTTAATGGTATGGATATACAGTGTGAAAGGATAAGAGTATATGTAGCATGAAAAGGTAAGAATATGTAGCATGAAAGGTCTGCTGGCAATTCTCAGCCTTTGGTTTTAGCCGTAGGGAATGAATGGTTGTGTTTATTTTGTGTAGGGTGTGACTTAAAGACTTGTTTTCCTGTTTTCTCTTCCTGATGTGGGGAAATGGTTTGTTAGCAATCCCAGGAGAAATCTTCCTTTGTTCTGTAGGTTTCCTCATGGTCTGGCCTTAGGGTTGATCAGAACATTGCAGTCTCTTAAATATAGCTTGTTTTAACATTTACTTCTCTTGCCTCCTTCCTATATTATATTTACCCAGGATCCTGGTCCCAGCACTGACCTCACCAGGGAGACAAAGAAGGGGATACCACTGAGGGTTTGGTAATCAATAAGGCTTTAGACAAAGGGAACTCAGGCAGGGAGGAAGAGGCAGCAAAATTCCAGGTGGAAGTGAAGTCTTGTCTGGCTAAGGGCAGGAGGTTAGAACAAAGGTGATTGGAGAGGTGTATGGGGAGCTAGGTTGTCCAGTGCTCACCTCATACAGGTAAGGGGTGGGAGACAGTTATAGATACCCACAGAAGCCCCCCACATGAGATCATGGCGCATTCTGGTTGGTGGTACTGTGCTGGTTTTGGCTAGGATGCCTGCTGGAGCCTGGGGTCACAGATGGGGCCCTATGGGGTCCCTGCACAGGGGAGGCACAGACCTTACTGCCAGCCTGATGCCTGGGCAGAGGGCAGGACAGTGTGTCCTCTGGGATACAGGCTGGCTCTGACATTGCATAAAGTGCTTCCATGGCTATGAAGTCAGCTGTGCAGGGCCACTGTCCCATCTTGATAGGACCAGGGAAGTGAGCAGCAGACTGAGACCAGAATCTATATCCCCTGCCCCTGACCAGACTTCTAGCTTAAGATGACAAGTGAACATCGAATTTGTCTTCTGCCCTTTCAGAAATTTTGGGAGATTTCCAGATTGATCCATGAGTTCATGACATGGACACAGGTAGAGTGTCCCTTTGAGAAGGACAAGAAGATTCAGAGTTACCTGCTCACGGCACCCATCTACAGCGAGGAAGGTGAGGCTGCGTCTGCACAGCAGCAGCCCCCTCCCTCTTGTCCAGGGCCCATGTGCCCTCTTGGGGTCACCCTGGGGGATGGGCCTGATTGTTAACCCTGTGCTACACAGGGGAGGCAGGGGTGAGTACATGAGGGTGGGTTGTGGGCAGATGACAGATAAAGGAGGATAAAAACAAGAAGAGACCAGGCTTCATTGGTCACTTGAGAGAGCCAAAACAGGGTCGGGCCAGTGCTGCAGAACGAGGCACCTTCTCAGAATCCCCGAGCAAGTGGTTGGGAGCCCTAGGCCTGATGTGGTCTGGAACCTCACATCGCAGAGACCTATGGATAAGCCCAGGCTGGAGGTCACGGTCTCCTTGGTCCAAGAGTTCCTTCTTGGCCTAGCTGCACCCCTATTGTGAAGTTTTAAAAGGGATAATTGGCATGATAGGCAGGCTAACTACAAGTAGACGTGGATTCTGATGGGCTTCCCTGTCTCTCAGCACTCTTCATTGCCTCCTTTGAAAGTGAAGGTCCAGAGAACCATATGGAAAAGGATAGCTGGAAGACTCTCAGGTAGGAGAACTAAAGGGACAGTCCTGCAGGCCTCCAAGACCAGCCCCATGCAAGGAAGGGAGAGGGCTGGGGGGAGGGCATAACAAATCTGCCCTTTCGAAAGGCAGCCGGGGGAGAAGGGCAACCCTGGTGCAGCTGCCAGTTAGAGGGAGGCTGAGGACTTGGGGTTTGAATGTCCCCACTGCCCTTTGCTTGCTCAGGGGAAGGGCCTGCTGGTGTCTGACCATTTCCTTGTGCCCTGTCCATCTTTAGGACCACTCTCCTTAACAGAGCCTGAAGATGTGGATGCCGCCTGCAGACACGGGATGAAGCACACACGTGAATCGTGTTTTAATCTTGATATGGGTTGAGATGTGGTGGCCTCACTGGTTGAGGTCTATTTTGTATATAACTTTTATGGGATAAAATGGTAATTATTTCATGTATCAACCTTTGGCACAAAGTTTTTTGTTTATTTTAAATAACAGGGCAGGGCCCTCGTTTGGGGAGGGATAGGGAAATAGTATCATGGGAGATGACATCCATGATAACATCTCATTCTAATGAAATGTAGATTTTTATTTTCTGCTTTTGATTATATCCACATTGTAGGAAAAAATATATATATAGATATAAAAATCAACTAAAACCAATGTGAGCCCTGCCTGCTTGGATGCCCTTCTAGCCCTCTGTCTCTGATGTCGGGGCTAGTGCCTTAGAGGGTACTTGGGAGCTCTTTCTCATTCTGCTCTAGCCTGCACCCAGCAGTGCCATGGGAGGCACTGGGAAAACTGGGCCCTAAACTACAGGAGCCTGCCCTCAAAACATGGGCCACTAAGGTTCCAGGTTCCAACAAGGCCTGAGAGGCCAGGTGGTCTTATTTGCGTACTTTTGGAAGTGAACCTTTAAATATGAGCTTTCCAAAGTTTACATTTTCCTTTTACTTTATCAGGGATTTATGGGGTTGGGAGGGGCAGAGGGACACCTGACAGCATATTTTCTGTTGGAATATGTCTGGCAAGGCTTTCTTCAACTACATTTTAGGAAAAGAGGATATCTAAAATAATGTAAGGTGGGAGGAGTTGTGGAATTGTCGGTTTTCCAGGCTGTAACTGAAAGACACACTTACCTGTAATGAATAACATACAAAGTAGACTTGAGAATGGAGACATTTAAGCTGTTTTTGAAACCCAGCTACAAAGTGAAAAGAAGCAACTCATAAGCCAGTATTCCAGTGGACAGCCACCTCCTCCCCTCTGGGTGGCGGCTTCTCTAAGGGAATCTGAAACAGAAAATTAGCCAGGCCAGTAACTGCTGGAGCCCATGCACATATAACTGCTCGACGTTTGGAGGTATTTTCCACTCCCAAACTCGAGCACACTCATTTTCTGACTTCCTGGCTGTGACCGCCCTGTTCTCTTGAAAGGGGAAGGTGGGCCATCCACACTGACTCCATCTCCCTTACGGGGGGCTTTGCACAAGCAGATTGGGAACTACTTACCCTTGTCTCACTTCACACGCCTGTCTTCTGCAGAAGTCTGCAGTTGGAGGGCCTGGTGAGGATGGGCCAGTTAGTTCCTAATTCCCACAGCTCCAGAAGAGCCTGGAGATGTGAAGGCGAGGCTTTAGGAAGGAGGTGGCTCTGTGAGCCTCTGCTGATGTTATCTTCAGCCCTGGGTAGAACAAGAATATTTACACTGTATTGTCACAGTGTTTTTGCACTTTTCAGACATTCTAGATAGTACATATTGTCTATTGATAGTACATATTACTTTGTTTATGTATTTGAGATAAAGAAAGGCTTAAAACTTGAGAGTATATATTTGGAATACAATATTAGAACATTTTCTGTATGTGCATTAAGGAGCTTTCCCATCACGTACACTTCACTGGGTCCTCAATTTTAGTACCCACCTGATAGTGTCTGCGTTTGACACTTTATTTTCCCAATTGGATACATTTCCTGTGATGTTTTGGTATTTTGAGATGAACTGTGAATATAAAGCTGTACTGTAACGCAGGAATGTCAGTGTTGGTGTGACTGGATGTATTTGCATCAATAAAAGAACACATTGCTCCCTTCGCGTGCCTGCTTTCTGTGCATAGCCAGCGAGGCCGGATGGCTCTGCTACTAGCGGAGGACAAGATTTCCAGGGCCCACTGTGGCCTTTCAAAGGAGCTCTCACCTACACAACACATTCTGACAAAAGGCATTTTCAAATAAATATAAAACAAGGCAGAGTTGTACAGGCAGCGTATTTCAAAGTAAGATCCAAAAAGATGTCAGTGCTTATATTACATGGTCATGTATGTTTGGGAAACCTAACTTAAACATGATGGTAAAGGTTCCTTTACTGTAGGACTCATCAGAACTTTCAATGTCCATAGGGACTGTGGGTCTCTCCCAGAGTGGGGGAAGCTGGAGGGCACCTACTGGCATTTTTCTGCAGGGCACTTGCCAAGCACAGTTCTAGATAGGACTTTTTCTGTTGTAATGAGTCCCATTCAAGAGCACTAAAGAAAAGGGATTCGTGGAGGGGCACACAAGGGTTTGTGGAACTGAAAGGAATGAGACACTAGAATCGTAGGCAAACTCCCACTTGCTTCTCTCCAGCCTGTCCCAGGGCTTCCCTATTAACAGTGCCCGGGCCCGGGCCCCATGAGGTTCACTGGTCACAGCTTGCCAAACCTTACTCTGCTTCTTCAGAGCTCATTCAGCCCATTTTTAATGTGTTTAGTGTCTGTCATACCCATTGGACCCATTAGCACTGCCCAAGAGAAAACTTTCTGCAGTGATGGAATGTTCTGTATCTGCACTGTCCAGTATAGTAGCTGCTAGTTACATATAGATATTGAGCAATGAAATGAAGCCAGTCTGACTGAGGGTGTTAAGTTTAAATAGCTAATGGTCACTGTGTTGGATAGATGGCTGCACCCTTCCCCCAGTGCCTCATGGAGTGGACAACATGAAGTAGGTGTTCAGGTGCTTGTGGAGCAAATGAGGACACCTGTGAGGATGTGAGTTTTGGATAAATTACGCCACTTTTTAGGTCTTTAAATTCAATGGCATTCTTAATTTCCTGATTAAGTAAATTTTGGAAGTTTCTACCTACTTCATCTGAGAAGGGACAGCACAGTTTTGGTCTGTATTGGACATGGAGCTTGAGCTGGGAGTGGACAGTGAGCTCGCCTGGCTAGCTGGCACTCTCCCCTTCACCCATGGGGTAGTCCCTCCAGGGCACTGCTTCTCAAGGTATGGGTCCCAGACCAGCAGCAGCAGCACTGGGAACTTGTTCAGAATTTATGCTCAGGGCCCACCTGAGTACACCTGCTGAATGGGAAACATGGAGTCCAGGCAAGTTTGAGAAGCTCTTCCGGCAGGTAAGATCCTGTAGGAGTTGGCTTGTGCTTACCCTCATAGCCCACCTCTTCCAGGTACATTTTACCTCTCAGGCTAGTAAACTCAAACACACCATACTCTTGCACCTCCTCTGATACATGTGCCATCTCATTCACAAACACACACATTCTTGGAGAGCCTCCTCACATCTTCCTGGTGTGTGGCCAGTGACCAGCATGGTGTGCAGTTCCTACCACCACGTGAGTGAATGTTACCTTTCACTTCACACACACATTTCAGGAACAAATCTCCATTACAGATCAGAAGATAAGCTAAGGATCTCTAATAAGGCCATAGAAACTTCTGTGATAAAACTAAGACTATTTGTGAAATATACACCTACTACACCTATACGTAAAATGTATGTTATATTCTTCAGGGAGGCAAGACAGGATAAGCATAAGAGGATTTAAGTTCTAGTTTCCAATTCCTAGCTGGGTACCCTTGGACAACCTTACACATATTTTTACTGTCCAGATAATTATTTTTAATGAATAATCGAAGTTCTCTTTAAAATTCAGCACATAGTAAACAGTAAAATAATTAGCTAAGAGGAACTGAATCCATTCTAATAAACTGCATTTTTTTTTAAGTAGCTAAACTAAGAATACTTAGACATAGGCCAACTCAGTCACCCATTCAATCTACTTTCATTCCAGAAAGCATATGAATACATTGAAGACCTTTCATGAGCAGAATACCCAAGGTAGAGTGTTCTTACTAGGTCACTGATGAAAAACTGTCAGGTGGCTGATGAAATAACTGGGTGAGCCTAGGACCCCCTTTTCATCCTGATAGTTTAACATTCCTTGCTTATATATTGCAGATTGATACTTAATGGTCTTTACTGAATGAAAATTTTAGTATCAAAACTAATACGCTAATTACAGCACATTCTGGTCTGTTTTTATGTAACTAGACAAAGTTTGTAATTAAAGTTCAGCGATGGGTCTTTACTGCACAGAGCTAACCAAATGGATATATTTAGTGTTAGCTATTTTTATTCTTTTTCTTTATGGTTTAGAATTGTCTAATGTAGAATTGAGACTTTAAAAAAAAGATTTTTATTAAAATATAACTAACATACAATATTGTATTAGTTTCAGGTGTACACCATAGTTATTCAACATATATCTAAAGAAGTGATCATCCTAAGTCTAGGAACCATCTGACACTGTACAACACTATCAAAATATTATTGACTATATTCCCTATGCTATATATCACATCTCCATGACGCAGTTTTATACCTGAAAGTCTGAACGTCTTACTCTCCTTCACCCATTTCTCCTCCTTTTTGATATTTCAATTACAGTTGACATTCAATACTATTTTATATTAGTTTCAGGTGTAAAGCATAGTGGTTAGATATTTATATAATTAATGAAGTGATCCCCCTGACTAATCTAGTAGCCACCTGACACTATCCACAGTTATTACCATATTATATATTATCGACTATATTTCCTATGCTTTTCATTACATTCCCATGACTATTTCATAACTACCAATTTGTACTTCTTTTTATAGTTCTTTTTTTTAGTTTTTTTTTCTGACTTTATTGAAATAGACAATTAGTTGCTTGTATTCACATTGTACAATTCAATGAGTTTTTTTTTCAATTATAGTTGGTATACAATAATATATTAGTTTCAGTTGTACAGTATAGTTATTAAAGATCTATATAACTCAAAAGTGATTACCCCAATCTAGTACCCCACTTACCCCTACATATTTATTACATTAACTATTTTCCTTATGCTACATTTTATATCTCCATGTCTATTTTGTAACTATCTATTTGTACTTAATACCTTTGCCTTTTTACAGTGTCCCCACCAACCCCCTCTCATCTAGTAGCTCTAAAAATATTCTCTATAAGTTTGTTTCCATTTTTGTTGTTGTAGTTGTTTATTTTATTCTTTAGATTCTACATGTACGTGAAAACATGTGGTATTTGTCTTTCTCTATCTGACTTACTTCAATGCAATACCCTCTAAATCCATCAAAGCACTATCTTTCCCATCCCTTTCCTTTTAGTCTTTGTGTGTCTTTTAATCTGAAGAGAGTCTCTTAAAAGCAACATATGTAGGGGGCTTGTTTTCTTATCCATTCAGCCACCCTATCTTTTGGTTGGAGCACTTAATTCTTTTCCATTTGAAGTATTTGTTGATAGGAATGTAGTTATTACCATTCTTTATTCATGTTTTTGATACATGTTTTTTCTTGTTAAAGTTAGTTTATTTTTATCTGGGAAGCTCTTTACCTATCCTTCCACTCTAAATGATAGCTTTGCTGGATAAAAAATTCATGGTTGTAAATCCTGAGTTTTCATCACTTTGAATATTTTGTGCCAAGCCCTTCTGACCTGAATAGTTTCTTCTGAGAAATGAGCTGCCAGTATTATGGGTGCACCTTTGTAGGTAATTAACTGCTTTTCTCTTGTTGCTTTTAAGACTCTCTTTGTATTTAACCTTTGGCATTTTAATTATGTCTTGGTGTGGGCCTCTTTGGTTCATCTTTTTTGGGACTCTTTGAGCTTCCTGGGGTTGTATGTCTATTTCCTTCGCCAGGTTAGGGAATTTTTCCATCATTATTTCTTCAAATAGCTCTTCAACTTTTTGTTCCCTTTCGGTACCTCTATGATCCGGATGTTTTTACATTTAATTTTGTCCCATAGACTCCTTAATTATTACTATAGTCTTGGCTTCTATTTTCTTGCCATTCTGATTGGGTGTCCTTGGCTTCCCCATCCTCTTTGATCCTCTTTCTTTATCCACTCTGTTGATTCCCTCTATTCTCTTCATTTCAGATAATGTGTTCTGCATTTCTGACTGGTTCCCTTTTATAATTTCCATTTCCATTTTTATGTTTTTTTTTTTTTTTTAATCTCTTTGTTAAAGTTCTCACCGGGTTCATCTACACTTCCCCTAAGTTCACTGAACATCTTTATAACCAGTGTTTCAAACTCTGGGTCTATTAGATTGCTTGACTCTATTGTCCCTGGATCTCTGTTCTGTTCTCTCAGATGGCTTCTGTTTCTTTGTCTTCCCATTTTGGCTGCCTTTCTGTGTCTGTTTCTATGTACTAAGCAAAGTTCCTAAGTCTCCCAGTATTATTAGTGTGGCTTTGTGTAGTAGGTGTCCAGTGGTCCTGAGAGGGCTTCAACTGCAAACCAGGTTTAGTCCTAGCCTGGGGCCACCTATTAAGAGTCAGCAAAGAATACACAGATGCTGTGCTTACAGTTCCCTTAAGAGGCCATGCCAGAAACGAAGGCCAGTTGCCACAAGTGTGGGTCTTAAGATTGGCTCAGTAAGGAGCACCGAACTCACAAGGATACACCTGAATGTGTCTTGGGTGGGGCCACAAGTTGGGGGAGGCAGAGTTTCACGGAATCCTCTGGGCAGAGCGATCTCTGTTACCCAGCTGGATGACATCTCAGCTATGGCAGTGCTGCATACACACACTGGGAGGGGGGAGGGCACAACAAAGAAACAATGTATACCACCAGAACTTCTGCCCAGGAGAAGAGCCTCGCCTCCAGCCTTTGCTCCATAAACTCAGTGTCCCCCTATAAGTTCCTGGTGCCCCACAAGCAGCCCACTCGGTGCTGGTGCTAAGAGTCAGCAGGTTTGTCACCATGAAAATCTGGTCGTGGACACGTCTTCTTTAAGAGGCGTCT